CCAGGTGTGGCCACCAGCACCAGGACAGGCACCCCCTGGGTCCCTGTGCTCCTTCCAGAGAGGAGAGTCAACAGACATTTAAAGAAACCTCTCACCCCAAACAGCCACATGGGTGGGATTTGCACAGCAAGAGAAGCTGGACGTTCTCCTAAACAGATCTACAGACTTCAGGCTGCTCTGGGGAGGGACCTACACTCTGAGATGAAAACCCCGTGTACTTCCTGTCTGCACTGTATAATTTATTGACCAAATGTTGAGTACATCCCACCTTCTGTGGTTCTCTGGTGGCTTCATTTGTGGCCAGATGGCAGAGTGGCTAAGAGTACATCTGGAGTTGGACAGTCATGGGTTTGAATCCTGGCTCTGTGACCTCGGACAAGTTGACTAACCTCTCTGAATCTCCAGGATGGCATCTGTAAAATGAGACTACACTGTGCAATCAGACGGATGAAAATAAAGCACTCAGCTCAAAGACGCTTAGTACAGAAAGAGCTCTCAGACACACAACTGGATTCTCCAGGAAGGTGGGGCCTGCCTGTCAGTCTCTGAATCCCCTTTAGGTCATGGCATAGTGCTGGGCACATAGCTCTACCAGGCTCCACTTTTAAAAAATTGATCCCACCCAAACAGCAGGCACCATTCTTAAGGAAAAGCAACTCTAAAAGCTTGACACAGGCTTCTGAGCTATTCCCCCTCTGCTCAGAATTCCAATCAAGGGCTTGGCATGGAAGCCCTTCTGGAAGCTCTTCATGCCCATCACCACTTCCAGAAGCTTCTGCCTCAGCAGTGTGTACGAGTGGAGCTGGGGCAGGGGCCCTCGGCAGGGAGGGGAGAGGTGGGAAGGTGGGAGACCAGGGCTGGGGAGAGGAAGCCAGTGCTCAAAGCTGGGGTGCTGACCTGGTCCTGCTACCTGGGACCTGCGGGTCCCCTTGGGGACTTGGGGCACTGAGGTCATCAGAAGAACCACAGAGGGCAGACAGCAGGTGGGCGGCAGACAGTGAGACTCAGTGATGTCATGTTTTCCCCAAATGACTCAATGGTTTGCCCTGGGCTATGAATGGTGAACTGTATGCTGTGGCCTCTAGGCCCGCCTGGCATCTCTCCCTGTCTCCGCCCTGCCCCAGGGACCCACAGTTGCCACATTCCTGCTGTGCTCCTGGCTGCAGCCCCCGCCCAGGGCTCATCCTCATGATGCCCCTTCCATGTCTCTCCAATCTCCACTTTGAGGGAAGACGCAAGCGACAGCAGACCTGGGTGTCATTACTGTCTCTGACTCTCCCTGACTGAGTGACCTTGGGCAGGTTACTCTACCTCTCCGAGCCTCAGTTTCCTCATCTGTGAAATGGAGACAACTGTGAAATTGCTAACAACTTGCTGGGCTATAGAGGGCCTGGTGAGCATGACTGTGAAGAACCTGGCATGTGGCAGGTGCTTAGTGAATGGAAAGAATGACATTAAAGGGCCTTTATGATCTGACCTCAGTTTCCTTTTCTAGCTGCATTAAAACATATACCTATATAATAGCTCACCCTTCTTGATGCTCACTGTGTGCCAGACACTGCTCTCAACAATTGTATAGATACACATCTTATTCCCATATCATCCCCATGTGGTGGGTACCAGTAGTGAGAAAACTGAGCACAGAGAAGGTAAGCAACTTGGCCACAGCCACACAGCCAGTATGTGGGGAGCTGGGGTTCCCATGGAAGCAGCCCAGCTCTACAGCATGTGTGCACAACCACAACTCCATCCTGCCCATCCCTCTCTCTTTGTGCATCCTGTACATTTCAGTTCAGTCCCGCCAGACTCCACACCAGGCCCTATCTTCAATCTCAACTTTCCCATCCCCATGCCTTTGCCCAGCTTCCCTCATGCATTGGAATGCCTGCCTCCTCCAGGAAGCCTCCCCCAAGTCCTCCCTCATGTCCACCTTTGTGGGCTCATCACAGTGGGACTCAAAGGTGGTTACTGGGACACCCAGGTCTCCTCTCTTCCAGCCTGAAAGTCCCTCGGGTTATCCCACCATCTTGCAGTGCCAGCATGAGCATAGGCACACAGTTCCTGGACAGGTGATAACCAAGAACTCAGCATTCTGGGCCCCACTACTTTTGTAAGGACAGACAGCTTGAGGGCTGGAGCTGGGGCCCCAGAACACTTCCACCCACCCCTGGGGAGGCAGCCAGCCAGGAGGGCTTCCCTCTTTCTGCTCAGGGAAACAACTCAGTCATGGGAGGCCTTGTTACTTGGGGATGGGAACTGGACCCTGGAGAGGGTGAACAGATGTCCACTTGCTGGTGGGGTTCAGTAGAGGCCCCAGAGTGCAGCCAGCCACCAGCCAAAAAGCGGGATTCAGAGCAGGCAGACAGACAAGTAGCAGGACTGGAGGGGCTTCTGGAAGGGTTTCAGGCCCATCCTCAGGATCCCAGCCCAATACCCATGGGGTAACGACCTCAAGAGGTCATGTGCTGGGGTCCCACTCTCCCTGTCCCCTCCATGGCCCACATTAGCCACCCCACTCGCTCACCATGGGTCCCACTATCCTCCCCAGACATGAACCACTCCCTCACAGAAGCATCCTGGATTGGGCCTGCCCATCCTCCCAGGCAGCAGCCCCCTGCGGGTCCTGTGCCACATCTGTCACTCACTCCTTCCATAATCAGGTAGTGGCACTCACTGCCAAGCTTGGGGCTACAAAGAAGAACAAGGCAGACAGCTGTCCTCCCCTTGCAGAAAGCATTGCCTGGTGCAGACCACAGATCACTGAACCAGTAATCATAATATAGCAGGCCGAATGTGGCAAGGGGGACCCTCAGGCAACCATGGGGAGGGCCACCACCCAGGCTTCCAGGAGAAGGTGACATCCAAGCCAAGGGGAAAAGGGGGAAGGAGGGAATGTCCTTGGCAGCTGGGAAGGCTACAGAGAGTGGGGTGTGTGTGTCTGGGAAATGAGGACAATTTGGAATGTGGGATACCGAGTCTAGGTGAGGCTGGGGAATAAATATTTGTTGAAAGATCACAGGACCAGTTATCACTTGGGGTGGGGTTTTCTGTCTTGTTGAAATGGCCACTAGGGAGGCAGAAGTTCCCGATCTGCCAGCGTCCCCTTGCCAACTGAGACCACAGCCGCTGCCATCTATACCCTTCCTGAGACCAGGTCAGGGCACAGGGGAGCAGCATCAGCAGAGTGGGCCTTGCAAAAGACCCTGATGCAGGATCCAAAATGCCCTGCCCAGGGCAGCCAGCAGGTGCCAGAGTCAGACCTGGAGAAGGCCAAGGCAACGCCAACCTTGCCAGAGCTTCCCAGCCAGAACCTGGTGGCATGCGCCGGCCACGGTTTGAAAATGAAGGTCAGCGTGTGCCATTTCTCCTCTTAGTGCAGCCACGGTGGGACAGACACACACGTGGTACCAAGGCAGGGCTGAGAGTCCAGACTCTGGAGTCGGCCTCGGGGTTTGGGCCCGGCTTTGTCCCTCACCAGCTGCGGCATGTCAACAACTTATCCAGCCTGACTGCCTCTGTTTTCCCATCTGTAAAATGGTGGGAACTTCCTGGGAGAGCCACCTCTGGAACTTCCTGGGAGAGCTCGGTGAGGGGGTGCCCAGGTGCTCAGGGCAGTGCTAGGCATACCAGCAGCTCTTACCATTATTGTTTCCTGTGCACGCTACCCCCTCCACCTACACCAGATGCAAAAGATGGAAGAAAAGTGAAAGAGAAACACATGTCTCAGGGTAAAAAGAAGGCAGCTGCCTGACCTCTGAGGTCACGGCCAACCCTTCACCCTCTGGTGGGTGACCCTGAGTTGTGACTCGCAGTTTCCAGGTTTCTATTCTCGGGGCCTCTTCAGACACGTCTGTCCTCAACCCTGCAGGACAGGCCTTCAGCTTCTCTCTGTGTTCCTGACAAGTCCCTGGAAGTCTCCAGAGGAAAGCTAGGCACCTGTAGCCCTTCCCTGTGGCTGGAGTTGGGAAATTCCTTGCTGAAAATCAGCATAGTCAGGGGGTGGCCCAGTGTGTTTTCAAAATATTTCCTCAGATAGCACTGTTTGGCTCAGACACGTTAGCACTTTCCAGAATCCTGCAGATGGCGAGGCAGCTGGAGAGGAAGGGAGGAGAAGATGGAGAAGCGGGGAAGTCGGGGCAGGGAGGAGACGCCCAGGGCTAAATCTCAGGTAGCTGAGTGGGCTGGGGCTGGCACAGGCGGGCATCGGCGTGGCATGTGTGAACAAGAACAGCACACACACGACAGAAAGCCGATCAACCTGCAGACATACTCGGCAGACGGTTAAGCTGTGGAGCCGTTTTATGAACCAGAACTTTCCTCAGAAGCCCGAAACGTAGAATAAGGACAGGCAGATGTGCAGTGCAGCCCACTAGGCCTTCCCCACCAAGGCTGCGGGATGCAGGGCTCACCCCACAACCACCCTCTCCAGAAGCCTGGCAGCAGCAGGACAAAGTAGCAGGACCCAGAACTTTCCGGCAGTGCCCCACTCCCTAGATCCCAGGGGCTTCAAGGCCTGCGGACTCAGCTCAGCACAGCCAGAGAACCAGAAGGGCCCTCAGCCACTCCCTGGCTGCAAGGTGGGAGCCCTCCACTGCCAAGCCCTGGTTCTCCCCCTGCTCACCGGATGCTTGATTTTAAAGGTGGTCACTAAATAAATTGAAGTTATTAAGAGATGGAAAATGTGCTTCCTATCCCACAGACTTAGTCACTCAGAACAGTGCTTGAGTTTCTGGAAATCATTGGCATGACCTTACCCAACCACCCCTGAGCTGATAGGACTCCAGTCCAAAGCAAAGAAACCTGGCTTTTTGTCCAGGCAGCCTACAAAGTAAATGAATGCATGAGGGTTTGCTCACAGGTAGGCCCCACCTTGAAGAGACATGCGGGAAAATCAGCTTTGGTCTGTCTACCCTAAAGCAATGTTGAAGAAGCAAATATTCTCGGATGCCACAAAACTGGAGAAAAGCCCCATCACTCTGCACCATCAAAGTGCAACTCACCAACCAGCCAAGAGGTCACCGTCTGCTCGCTGGGCAGGGCCTGGGCTCGGGACTGACTCAGAGAGAGTATGGCTGAGTGGGGACCCCCCGCTGTCTTCTCTCCCACATACATGTTCTTCTGTGCCCGGCCACTAGCGTCCATGCAGCACAAGCACTGGCCAGTGGAGGGTGTGTTCCCTGCCTTTTGAGGCTCTCGAAGTCAAGGAGGAGGGGCTGGGCGGGGAGGGGGCAGGTGTAACCACAGAGGCCAAATAAGAACATCCCGGGCTGGCTTCTGAGGTGGTTGTTTACTTGCGGCATTCAGGAGAGGCCGAGCTGGAAACTGGCTTGTTTATTTTCCACACTTTTCCTCCAAATCTTTTTCATAGAGTCCTCTGGAACCTCAGTGATAATTTCCCAGGGCCCAGGGAAGCCACAGTCCCTTCACACACAGCCATCTTTGTGAGGAGGCAGCAGGGGTGGGGTGTTGCGGGGATCAAGAGGAAGGAGGGCGACTGGAGACAAGAAAGCCACCGGTGGTCAGGGGCTCCTGGGGCCACCCCGGCCCTCCACGCTAGTGGGGGCCCAGGAGCCACAGCCAGATTTGGGGCAATGGAGACAGAGGGCTGAAGCGTGTCCACCAGCAAGCACAGAACAGACCGTCCAGGCCTGCCAGGGTCACCCCAAACCCCGCTGTGGAGTCCACGTGCTTGGAGTGGGACTAGCAGCATTCTGCCATCACTTCAGGCCTCAGAGAAGAAAAAGTGACAAATATCGTTTCCGTTTAGGAATGAAAAGGAGAAGGGTCTTCTCTCTGGGGCATGACTTCACAAAAGCCAGAGACTGTGAGTGTTCCCTAGCAGCAAAGACCCCACCTGAGCCGCTGCCCTAGGAGTTCCTAGCAGAAGCATTCAGAGCCCCTCCCAGAGTTTCACCCAGCATCTGACCACATTCTCCTGAACCTCCCATGTCTCAGGCACTGGGATGGAACCGGGAGTACAAAGATGGACAGCCCCAGCCCCTGCAGGGGGTTGGCTTCTCCCCACACCTAGTCCCCCAGCTTCCGTCCTGGTCAGCATGTCCCCTCGGCAGTGGATGGGGAGAGGTTTCCAGTTTCTTTGCAGCTCAGCACTAGGAAGGCTCTCAGAACTCACCCAGATGGGCTTCCCATGGAAGGTGGGCAGGGACCAGCTGGGCAGTGCTCAACCAATGCTCCTTGCATCTTTTGAAGGGTGCTAGCTTTTCCCATTCTATGGACACCTGTATCGGGGCTCTCAGGGCAGAGATGAGTGTGGGTGGAGCAGTGAGAGCCCTGCCCCAGCAGGGGTAACTGGTCTCAGCTCTTGGGAGGCAGGGTAGAGAATACCACCCCAACTGAAAACACAGCTGCCCCGGCCTTTGCAGCTCCCTGGCTTCGTGACCTCGGGCATCCACTGCACCTCTCCGAGCCTCATGTCCTCATCTGTAAACAGGGCCAATGGAGAACTGCTGTCTCCTGGTGGGTCATGGGTGTAAAAGCAAGAGCTGGGGACCAGATGGGCATGTGGTTATCACCTCCCCTGGCTGCCCTGGCTCTGCTCCATCCTTCCCTCCTGTGGACTAGGAGCTGCTAAGGAGTTCAGCTCTCCAGAGCATGTGGCGGCGTGGGAAGGGCAGCTGTGACATGGGCCCTTATGTTCACCGGGTAAATGACAATAGGAGGTGTCAAGTAAGGGCTGATTTCCCAGGTAATGGATAACCCTGGAGAGGACCAAAAAGGGGGGAAAATACCGTAACCCATTTGAGGATGTTTGGTATTCAAGGTATGGTCACAAGTGGCAGCTTTGTCCCAACTTCTCAGATAAGCAGTGAGTCATCTCTCCCCGTGTCCCCTTCCAAATCTCCATAATTTCCTGACTCCAGAGCCACACAGAAGGTTCCAGCAGCCTGGTACCACCCAGCCATTGATTCCCAGGACCTAAGGTATAATCCAGGCTGGGCAGAGCGTGTGGAAAAAGAGGAATGCAAGCAGAGGCCCTGGGACCACGTTAGTAAGACACTTCAGTGCTGTTTCCCTGTTGCCATGGAGAACCAATAAGGACCTTGCAAACAGCCTGGCATGGTGGAGACAGGGTGGGTTCTGGAGTCAGACGATCCAGGTTCAAATACTGGCTTTGCAATTGCAACAAAAACAAAATTTGACAAATGAGACCTAATTAAAGAGCTTCTACATAGCAAAAGAAACTATCAACAGTAAACAGACAACCTACAGAAGAGAAAAATATTTGCAAACTATGCATTCAACAAAAGTCTAATATCCAGAATCTATAAGGAACTTGAACAAGTTAACAAGCAAAAAACAATCCCATTAAAAAGTGGGCAAAGGTCCAGGCATGGTGACACCTGTAATCCCAGCACTTTGGGAGGCTGAGACTGGTGGATAACCTGAGGTTGAGAGTTCGACACCCTGACCAACATAGAGAAACCACATCTCCACTAAAAATACAAAATTAGCCGGGCGTGGTGGCAGGCACCTGTAATCCCAGCTACTGGGAGGCTGAGGCAGAGGCTGCGGTGAGCCGAGATTGTGCCATTGCACTCCAGCCCGGGCAACAAGAGTGAAACTCCATCTCAAAAAAAAAAAAAAGTTGGCAAAGGACACAAACAAATGCTTTTCAAACCAAGACATACATGTGGCCAATAAGCATATGAAAAATGGTCAACATCACTAGTCATTGGAAATATGCAAATCAAAAGCACAATGAGATACCATCTCATACCAGTCAGAATAAAAAGTCAAAAAATAACTGATCCTGGCCAGGTCGTGGAGAAAAGCGAGTGCTGGCCAGGCGTGGTGGCTCACACCTGTAATCCCAGCACTTTGGGAGGCTGAGGCGGGTGGGTCAGGAGATTGAGACCATCCTGGCCAACATGGTGAAACCCTGTCTCTACTAAAATATATATATATTAAAAAAAAATTAGCCAGGTGGGTGCCTGTAGTCCCAGCTACTCAGAAACCTGAGGCAGGGGAATCGCTTGAACCTGGGAGGCGGAGGCTGCAGTGAGCCGAGATCACACCACTGCACTCCAGCCTGGTGATGGAGCAAGACCCTGTCTCAAAAATAAAAAAGAAAAGAGAAGAGAGGAAAGGGGAGGGGAGGGGGGGAGGGGAGGGGAGGAGAGGGGAGGGGAGAGAAGGAGTGCTTATATACTACTGGTGGGAATGGAAATTAGTTCAGCTATTGTGGAAAGCAGTTTGGTGATTTCTCAAATAACTCAAAGCAGGATTACCATTCCACCAAGCAATCTCATTATTAGGTACATATCCAAAATAATATAAATTGTTCTACCATAAAGACACATGAACACATATGTTTATCATAACACTGGTCACAATAGCAAAAACATAAAATCAACCTAAATGCCCATCAACGGTAGACTAGATAAAGAAAATGTGGTAGATACACAACACGAAATACTATGCAGCCACAAAAAGAATAAGATCAGTCCTTTGCAGCAACATGGATGGAGTTGGAGGTTATTGTCCTGGGCAAACTAACACAGGAACAGAAAACCAAATGCTGCATGTTCTCACTTAGAAGTGGGAGCTAAACACTGAGTACATCTAAACACAAAGAAGGGAACCACAGACACCAGGGCCCACTTGAGGGTGGAGGGAGGGAGGAGGGTGAAGATAAAAAAAACTACCTATCATGGGCCTGTGCGGTGGCTCAGGTCTGCGATCCCAGCACTTTGGGAGGCTGAGGGAGGCAAATCGCTTGAGCTCAGGAGTTTGAGACCAGCCTGGGCAACATGGTGAAACCCTGTCTCTACAAAAAATATTAAAAAATTAGCCAGGCATGGTGATGCCAGCCACTTGGGAGGCTGGGGCAGGACAATCACCTGAGCCTGGGAGGTCGAGGCTTTGGTGAGTGGCAGTGATTGTGCCATTGCACTCCTGTCTGAGCAACAGAGACCCTGTCTCAAAACAAACACAAACAAAAGAAAACAAAACCAAACCCAACAACTATCTATTGGGTACTATGCTTATTATCTGGGTGATGAAATAATCTGTACACCAATCCCCCATGACATGCAATTTACCTATGTAACAAACCTGCATATGTACCCCAAACCTAACATCAAGTTCAAAAAAAAAAAACATGGCTGGGCACGGTGGCTTACACTTGTAATCCCAGCACTTTGGGAGGCCAATGTGGGCGGATCACGAGGTGAAGAGATTAAGATTATCCTGGCCAACATGGTGAAACCTCGTCTCTACTAAAAATACAAAAATTAGCTGGGCTTGGTGGTGCTAGATTGTAGTCCCAGCTACTCAGAAGCTGAGGCAGAAGAATCACTTGAACCTGGAAGGCGGAGGTTGCAGTGAGCAGATATCCCGCCACTGCAGCTTGGCAACGGAGCAAGACTCTGTCTAAACACACACACACACACACACACACACACACACACACACACATATTGGCTTTGGGTCTTACTAGCTGTGTGATGTTGAAAAACTTACGTAACTTTTCTGATCCTCGGTTTGCAAAATGGAGATAAAATGCTAACCTTATAGGGATGTAATGATTTATTTAAGTAACGTATACAGAGCTCTCGATTCACAGAGGGCATAATGAAAGGGGAAAGGTGCTATGGGAAAGGAACTGGCTGCAAGGTTCCACCTGAAATTGGGGGTAGCCAAGCCCAGATCCCCTCCTCTTTCATCTGAGGCCACAGTCCTTGGTGCTACTACCCACATGCCTTGCTAATTTCAGTGTTTAGAAGTTTGAAATGCACACTGAACCTGGTCAGAGCTCTTCACAAGGGGGCAGGGGTGGGGAATGACACATTTCCTTTCAATGACATGCCCAGGCCGCCCCCACATCTTCGTGCACTCTCAATCCCAAGACTACTGGCAATCCAGTTCCAGGAAACATGGATGTTTCTGCTCCTCTGGAAAACTCATGCAAACTGACACAGAAGAACCCACAGCAATACTCAGTACAGGGACTGTGACCACCCCTCCACCTGCTGCCACCACAGAGCCAAGCCACTGCTGCAGGACACAGCTGCTAGACCTTTCATGAGACCCATCTCCAGCCAGGAAGAAAAGCAGCTGCCCCCAAATTCTACATGTTCACTTGTTCCTCCTGCCCCCAGCACATGCCCAGCAGCCTGGCCCATCTCTTTCTCCACTTACCCACCCCTCTCCCCTGCAGCCAGGAGATGGGAGGATTGATGGATCTAAAGTTATTCTTCAATGGAGATCCCACAGAATCTACCAAATAGCCTGCCATCTACCAAAACCCACATCAACCTCAGCTTAGCCAGATACAGAAATGAAACTTTTCCTGCTGCCCTCTTAGCGGGGCAGAGGCCAACGATGAGCTCAAGTCCCCCAAGGGCAGCCCACAGGACACAGTGGAACACACACTGCCTGGACCATTGTCCCAAACAGATCAGGCAGAACTCCGAGGAGCTACTCAGGCCCCCTCCTCTGCGGAAGACCAAGTCCAACCCAGCAGAGGCCCACTGGGCTTGCCTCACAGTGAGTCCATAAAGAATGTCAATTACCGGTGTCATTTTCATCAAGCAAGTACTGACTGAGTGCCCACTGTGCCAGGCACTATGCTAGGCCCAGCAAAATCCCTGGTACATCTTGGGGCCCAGGAATATCACGCATCAGAAACCATACACAAGTTCAAGTGCAAGGAAAATAAGGCTTCAGGTCTCCCCTGGCTTCTCCCTAACCTTTTAGGCTTAAATCCGCCCACCTCCGCTTCCCCTGTCCACACCCAGGGCTGGAATCTCCTCACTCAGTTCCCCTGGAAGTCCCGGAGGTAACACATCCGCTGGGGGGAAGGGTAGGGACCCTTCTTCCCTGGAAGACTGTCACGGCCACCATCCTGCTGTCTAGCGCAGCAACGGCCTGCCAGCCTCTTCCTGGCTGCTCACAGACCCTGGCACGCCGGCTCTGAGTTTATGAATCACTCCCTCCTCTCTCCGGGCCTCGCCTCCGGAAGGGCTTCGCACACCCAGACACATCACCCAGACACCGAGTTTCCACACCAAATCCGCTCCTGCTGAGCCCCGAGAACCGACTGCAACGTCTGCTCCCCCGACCCTTGGTCTCGAGGTTCTGGCCACGAGTTTTCAAAGCCCAGGCAGCCTCTCTCCCGCCCGCTGCGCTTTGGGGGCCCCTCTCCCTGGGGGCTGTTAGGGCAGCAGACAAAGGCCGTGGATGTGCTGGAGGGGTGTGAGGACATGCATGGTGTCGAGGCCAAATCCCCCAGTGCTCCAAGGAATGTGCATTTCGGTGTGTGGCACGTGCCTGGCCAGTGTGGGTGTGCGCAGACCGGCCTGTGCGGAGTGTGGGGCATGAGTGGCGATGAGCTGTGTGTACCTGGCAGGTGTGATCCGGGTGCAGCGGTTTGTGGGCGCCTGCCTGGTCTTTTCCCCGAGCTGGGAACTCCCTCTCCCACCCTCCGCTTCTTCCCCTTCTCCCTCCAAAGTTTGGCGCGCCAGCCCGGACCCGGAAGGCAGGCGGGGGAGGGGGGGCTCCCGGCTGTGCGGCCTCCCCCGGCCCTGGCTGCAGTTCCCGGACGCCGGCGCCTCACTTACCCCGGCCGCCGAGGCTCCTCCGGCGCTGGCGGCCCCGACCCTCCGCGGCTGGGGTCCGGCGCGGGCAGCATCCGCTCGCAACTTCGCGTTCCTCTTGGAAGATCCCGGCAGAAGCGGCTCCGCAGCCCCGGCGCCCGCGCGGCCCGGGCTGCGCGCCCTCCCCGGGGCGGGCAGGAGGGATGCAGGCGCGGCCCGGCCGGTCGGCACGCGGGAAGGGAAGCGGCGCCAGGCGGGCGCAGCAAGCGGGCTAGTGGGCTTGCCTGGCGCCCTCCCCGCTCCGGCCCGAGCCGGCGAGCGGCAGCGGATTCCTGAACCGCGTCCAAGGCGCCCGGGAGCTCTCCTCCTCCTCCTCTTCCTCACCCCACCCAGCTCCCACCCCTGCGCGCCCGGCAACTTGGGAACCGTTGGCGAAGTTGGCGCTGCTCGGGCTACGCGCCGGCCGGGCCTTTAGGGGAGGAAGGGGAGGAGGAGGAGGAGCCGACGGGAGAGGACGAGAGGGAGGGGAGCCGCCCCCAGGGAGCCGCTCTCTCCAAGACCCCTCTGCGGGCCTTTGTTCCGGGCGCTGCCCCTCTGCCCTCCAGTCCCCTGGGATTCTCTTGGGGCCTCTCAGGTACCCACACTCTCCCCGCGAAGCTGGTGGGTGGAGGCTATGTAGAGACCCCAAAAGCTTCGTGCTGGAGCCCCCGGACTGTGACCACCCCCCACCCCTACCGTCGCCAGGGAGACCCCTCTGGCTACACTGGTTTTCCGTCATCTCTGCCCAGAGAGACTCTTCTTGCTCCCGCCTGGGGCAAGAAGACTGGAGGACGGTTCTCCGCCACCCCCCGCCGGTTCCCAAAGAACACAGCACCGTCTCCCTGGGCGGCAGCAGGTCCCCCACCCACCCTTGCGCGCTTTCGTGCACGGCAGGCCAGTCTCAGGTTCCCCGAATGGAAGAGCCAAGAAGCAGGAGGGACAGAAGATCTTTCTGGCCCTCCAGGGCTGCCTGGCTTTATCTTCGGACTCTCCCAGGCAGCTGAGTCTCCGGCTGGGCTGCCAGGCGAGTGGGGTCCTGGTCGCCTCCCGCGCATGGCGTGGTCGGCTGGGCAACACTGGCTCCAGGTTGCAAAGGCCAGCTTCTCGAGGGACGAGGTCAAGAGCTCAGAACTGGAACACAAACCGAACTTCCCTGTTCCTTGTCCGAATCCTGGTGATGGTCCTGTCTCCTAACACGCGAGAACGTCTTGGATTCCACTTGCTGGGCTTTCCTCCTGGGACTTCCAGTACTTAACGTCATGAGCTATTTCAGGCCTCTCTAAGACAGCAGTCCTGACATTTAACGGGATAGTATAGTGTTTAGACAATAAGTTATTTCCTGTATAGCAGAAGCAGGAAAATCCAAAAAAGCTAAAACCTGAACATCTACACTCGGAGGCCCTCTGCCATTCTCAGCTTTTACAGATGAGCAGCAAACAGGAGAACCAGATAGAACTGATCCTGACCCACGGCTTCCCAGGAG